CTATTTCCTAATTTTAATTATTTCATTGCATTGTACATTGATGATAATAGCAAGTTGGTGATATGGTAAGAGAAAATGAAAAATCAAATATAAACATTTACCTTTGATATCCTTTTAGCAGGTTCTGGAGATTATTCAAAAAAATATGAAAACCATAAGTCAAAGAAAAGTGTTTTTATACGTAAAATGAAAATCACCTTGCCCTCAATTTTCAAATAGTTTGAATGCAATTAACTACAATAGAAAAATTACATTTTTAGTAAAAACCACCATTACTTGTGTACAACATAGTATGATCTTTAACAAAATCTTACCAATTTTTAAGAAGATACATTAAGAAATCTCAAGTTACCACATGTATTGTTGTACAAGTGAAATTCGTGATTCAATTTCCACAAATCGCATGAGCCCGCCACAAAAGGTTAAGAAGAGTAATCATGCACTTATCATGCACTGTTTAATGGTAGCAAAAGTGTATACAAACCTTCAATCCAAATTCTCATGTGTATTACATTAAAAAATAATTAAACTGTTTGTTTATCATCAGTCTTGTGGTATATACATTTGACAGAGGGTGAGAATTTATCTTTACTGTGTTTAATGAATAAATATCTTTAAAAAGCAAGTGAAATATAAATTCTTAGCATAAAGTTTCAGTTTTTGTCCTACTTTTCAATGCCCAATTGGTAATAGCCATCCTCCTGCATTACTTTACCCACGTTTACCTTACCTCTCAGCCTTCTACATCAGCTTCTTCTTCTCATTACATTTCAGTTGTCACCCATAAAAGCAAGGGAGATGAGACTTTTCAACCCATGGAATAACTTTCTTTCTTTCTGAGCAACCCCCTTTTTACATTTTTTAGGGGGATCATCTAGGATGTCTGTGTTCATGTGAGGAACCCATGAATTTGGGACCTTTGGATTCATGAAATTTTTCATCTTGTGGTTTTTTATTTTTACCAATTTCTTCACCCTCCTCCACATTTAGCTTTTCCAGTTTCTTTTTCATCCTATCAAGCCTATATTCAAATTTTTGAGCTGTTATTTTTGAACCTTTCATAGAAAGGGGCTATTGAAGCTGTACTACAGTTCGTTCAGTCATTGAAATTAGGACATAATGTGCATGGCTAAAAAAAATAGCCAACATAACTGCATTAATCAAGACAATACCACAGCTAATGTCATTGTCCATTACAAAGAGATTCTTTTAATTAAAGATACATCTAATACACAAGCAGGACACAAGGCCAGTATCATCCCCAAGTTAAGAAATGAAAAACTTGTATTAAAGGAAAAGAAGTTGTATGAGTTTTTTTTTTTTTTACGAAGTCACTTTCTCACTATTTTACTTGTCATTTATTCTAAAATTCCTTGACATTTCTGATGGTTTTTTGCTGTATGCTTCTGCTAAGTTTGAGGGCTTTAGTCCTTCTTGTTTGTATTTTCGTCTTTCTGCAGTGTCAATTAATCATAAAATTGGTGTCTGGTAATAGTTCTTTGCCATATCAATCATTGTCTGGACATTACACCTTTCAAGATGGAAAACATAAGAGCCTTACAGAGGTTCTGTCATCTTGGTTTTCAAATGATGAAAAGAGTTATCTAAAATGCTTATTTACTTCCTTGATTCATCTGTGTTATTGACATTTTCTTTGCTTTTACTGTAGGTTATTGGTTTCTCAATCCTAGGCCCTCCCTTTTGGTTCAACTTCAGCCCCTTGTATCTTCATATGTGTAGTCAAATTATTTGCTGGTCTTCCACAGACATCCATTATGGATTTTCATCATTACATCAATGATTGGTTTATTCTTGTTTAGTTGTCACTTCAGTTGACTCATGCTCACTCAGCCACCCACTTATCTTCTTCCTAATATATTTGTCAGGAGAAGATCTTCAGAGAAACTGATTAGTGCTATGGCTTTTCACATTCCTTTTGGTTGTAATCCTATTTTTCAATGTCCAGTTGGTAATAGCCATCCTTCTGCATTGCCAATTTCTTCTGCTACTGCTTCTCAGCCTTCTACTTCAGCTTCTTTTTTTTTCTACTTTCTTTACTCTCCTTGCAGTGCCTAACAATAAAATTGCATTTGTTTGCACCAAAAAACCTTTTGTCACATGTTCTTTGTAAGATTATCTTTTCAGTCTGAATGTATGATGATCTAAAAAAATCCTGTGATGTACGTTAGATGATAATGTAACAAAGAGTCCAAGTCTCAACGTTTACCTACTCAGTATCTTGTGCATCTGGGACTTAGGATAAACTTTTCAATTGTCTCTTTGCTTTGCAATTCCTGGAGTTTTGTGTTCTCCTATTTTTCTCTTGTACTCCACCTCTAAAAATGTATTCTCTACTTTTGGGACAATGGCTTCCCTTCATGAGGTGACTGATTCCCTTGGGTCATGTTCACATTAGGCTTCTTCAGTGGTATAAATCTTTATATCTGTTGTCTTGGAGAACTTACCTCTCTCTCTCTCTCTCCTGTTTCTTTCAATTACCTTGAAGTTTAACTCAGTTGAGAGTTTATCACTGTAGGACCCTATTTTCTTCCACTCTTTTCATATATGCATCTCTCCAAAGATGCTTCTTTCAAGGGCTGTGGTGCTGAATTGGGGGATGTTGGTTTTTAGGTAGTTTGGTTCCTGATCTCCTCCGGATCACTTTCTCACATCAGTCTTTTAGAACTTTAGGTAGTTCATCTTGCTTGTCAAGGATTGCTACCTTCCACTTCTACCATTCTACTGTGGTTACATATATCAACAATGAAGAATTCAGTCATGCAGCCTTTGTTTTGTTGCTGTTTCTCTGTTTCCATTCACAACACACATATCAGAACTTGTCATGTGCTGGCTGTTATGAATATTCATGCAAATTCTCTTTCCAGAGATCATTGGATTCTTCCCACAGAAGTCATCTTCATCTGTCATCCCTATTTCATGATCTTTCTTCAGTATTTTGCTTATTTTGTCCACAAGTGCCTAGATTCTGTCCTCATTGAGACTTGAGCCTTGTCTTAAAATGATTTTCTTCTTTTGAACCTTTATTTACTTGCTCATTCTATCATCTACTATTCTACTGACAGAGTAAATCCAGGTAGAAAGAGACTCCAGAATAGGATTTTATTTATTATTATTATTAATCAAAATATTTCTCTATCTCCAATTTCCATAAAATAGGTACCAGGGTTGTTGGGCAGAATAGAAATACTTCAGTCACTGTACACAACAGAGGTGTGGGACCAAGAAGTAAATAAGCATCAGACAGAGACTAATTCACTTGCAATAGATTCAATCTGGCTTGGATAAGAACCACACACATTAAACAGAATCCATGAGCAGAAGAGATAGCAATTTGATATAACTAAGTTGACAAAAAGTATTTGGATTCATCCACATGCTAAACTGTAATGGGTACCGAAACAAGAGATCAAAGACAAGCCAAATGGTGAAATTGATGGAAAGTAACCTGAATTTTATTTTTAAGGTGTGCAGGTATATCATGGTAGACAAGAAGAATCAGCTGCACAGACTAAAATATTAATGTAATCGGAACAACATCTGTGGATTGAGATGCTCATAAGGTATACACAGCTTATTTGAAGCCCTTCTGAAAGATTCTGTTTGTGCAATATAGCAACATATTGCCCTGACAGGGCATAGAAAATATTTGTCAGAGTAAGTAACACAATCGATGAAAACTAGTTGTTAATCTCTCCTGTGGCCCTGTACTTTGGTAGGAAGGCCCTATCAGGATAAGAAAATAAGTAAATTAACTATAATCATGCTTTGCCTGCTTGAAAAAGGCACTTACATCATAACATTATATGTGGTTTTCCATCACAATTGCAGCTTACAAAAATCTGAATTATGATGTGAATGCAGAGCTTATGTAAGATGTAACATGTCCACAATAAATATAGAGGGTAAGAGAGATAAAACTTATAGGTAAGTGTTGCATACTCTGCTTTGTGTAAAAAAAAACAAAAAAAATCAGAACTTTGAGTTATATGGTTGACAACATGAAAGCAACAGGAAAGGCTTTCAGTATTTAAGAAGTAAGTACCTGTTTCAAATTCATTTTAATTCTAAAAAATCTGGTTTCATGACAATTAGGTTTATTGCTAGTAATAAATTATCACTACAGAAATGTATCTTGTTCTTAGTTTCAGGTTATTGTGGGTGATTGTATGCTTCAAAATAACTTTAAGTTTAGTAATGCCTAACAATAAAATTGCAGTTGTTAGCACCGACAAACCTTCTGTCATGTATTTATTGTGAGGATATATTTTCAGTTTAAATGTATGGTGATCTAAAAGAATTCTATGATGTGTGATAGATGATGATGTAATAAAGATGGGTGGCTTGGCATAAATATATTCATTAGCAGTCATAAAGAAGCATTAAAAGAATGTTAAAAAAGGCAGTGGAAGATTGACTCATTGGAATGTGGTGAAGAATATTCTGAATAGAAACATTAGATAAATTTGTTTACGTACTCTTTTTTTTTTTCTTTGATGTGTTGGTACAAGTTATTATAAGCAGAAGAAAGCTTCTTAATGGATACTAATTTTAACTATATTACAACATATTTTATATTTCTGTGCTGTTTTTATTACCATTTAGGTCCACATCAGACCACATTAAATGTTTGGTGGCTTGTACTTAATTTACCTTTAGAATTGGTCCCTGTATTTGGACTAGGAAATTAAATTTCAATGTTGTCGTGGAAAGACATTTCATTTACTACAGCTGAGCTCATGCCAATATGTGTATATATTGTACTTTGAATGGTGGTTATTTGTAGAAAATTATTTAATAAACTGTTTGATGTACATTGAAAATATTAACATTAAAAAAATGCTCATTAAATTTGGATAGTTCATTTATGGCAAGGAAAAATAAAGCGTATCTTGGTTGATTGCATTAGATGTTGAGGTGTAATTTTATGATATTATATTGGAATGCTGCTTTCTTTGATTTATGAAATTTTTGCACTTCAGGATCCAGCTGATGGTATTGTCCATTCAATAGAAGCAGGTAAGGAAGAAAAAGGCCCCCTTAAAAGTGACCTCATGAAAGGTAATTTATAATCTTTTTTTTCTATCTTTTTTCTTGTTGTAATGTGTGTAACTTATGTTGTCATATATGTTTTAGTCTGAATTTACAGATCTCTGAAAGAGTATTAGACAGTAATAAACAAACAACAAAATTTTGATAATGTCACATGAATTAAGAGTAATGGGTTTGGCATAGGCCTATAGCCTTAACAGCTAAACTTTGGAAATACCTCTAAGCTTGAAATAATAACAGCATTAATTCTGTAGCTAAGTACTTTAACTTGCAGAGATTTCAACCTATTAAACTTTGTACCTTTCATCAAGTGTGTCCCTAAGATAAAAATCTCAATATTGATGGAGAAACTATAATAAAAAAAAAAAAAAAATCTTTAGATACTAAATTAAGCTGCCAATTCTGAACTTCATCTTTTCAGGTAAGATCAGTAGTTTCAAAGAAAAGAGTGAAGTGCTTGAAGTAAGAACTTATGGAACTTGTACTCATTTTTAAAATGTGTCTGATGAAGACCAACTTAAGCATCAAATATAAATAAAATAATGAAGGTTCTAAATGTGATAAATTAAATTGAATCCAATCAGTAATACAGTAATAGAAATTTTAGAAAAATTATAATTAATGTAAAGCATATGCTTTATTTAGGTCTATACCTAATGCAGAATTGATTGAAAATAAACTGTTATTAATCAGATGCAGCCAGATAGTTTTCTTGTACTGGGTCTTAGGTTAGAAGAGCATGTTTTTGTTTTTTTTTATTGATTTCTCTTTCCATTTCAAAACAGAACAAAATGTTCATGTTGGTTTTAAAAATGAGTTCTTGTGTAAAAAAACTCAACATTTTCTTTATTTGCACAGCTATTTAAAACCCAGAAACAACATATTTGGGATAAATTATGAAGAATGGTTTCATTTTCCAACACCCAACTAATTTAAAAGTCAGTTTTCAGTACTTAAAGCCAACAACTAATGAGTAGGCGGTCAGTAAGTTAGGTATACTCTGTTCTCTGTTTAATGTTTTATTTCATTAACACATTGATTAGAATGTTTAGTATATTATTATACTTGTATTACAGAGATTGTTTTGTATTTCTTATTATAAGGATTTAGGACTAATGTAAACTTTTGCTTGCTAAACCTCATGAGATATTATTGGGTTGATGATGTGATTAACAGTAAGGGTATACAACTAATGAAATAATGAATTTTAATCTATGTAACTAAGAACATAAGAACAGTGTATTTAATGAGCTTTGATCTTTATTGTTTTTTGTTTTTTTTATCTAAGTAGAAAGTTTACTATGATAGGGTGTTAATCTAATTAACTGGAGCTTAGCCTTTTTTTTTTATCTAAATCTTAAACTGTGTCTTTATGTCTTATTATTTTCAGGATGTAACACAAAGAAACAAAAGGAATTTGTCTTATCGATCCCTCAGTTAATCTGGAAACTTCAATAAGATTACTTCTTACCTTTTTTTCTCAAGACAAAATAGTTTATTTTAGTCTATTTCTTTAAAATGACCCTTCCAGCTCCTGAATTATCCTAGTATCTCCCCCTCTGGATCCTTTCCAGTAAGTCGATATCCTTTTAAGGCCTAGAAAAAAAATGCTTTCTTTCTGGGTATCCGATTGACTTGACATAAAAATGCCTGACCCTAAAGTTTTTCAACACCCCCCCTCCAAAGTTTTATCTGTGGATCGACCCTAATTAAAAATGCCCTTTGATTAATTTTTTTTTACTTTCATTAAATTATTGCACCAATCTGCTACCATATTGTGCAAGGTGAAGGCCATAAAAAAACCATGTCTCTGAATCGTTAGTTGGTGTGGTGAATCATTGCTCTCAGCTAATTATAGCTGAGCTTCCATTCAGGCAATGTATAACATTTCATCATGGTGGCTAGAGTATTGGCTGTCGTCTTTAACAAATGCCACATGTTACCCTAAAAAAAAAGACAATGTCACAGTTTATTGGAACAGTCAAAGACATGTTCGAGTTATACCATCCTAAACTAGATATAAATTATTATTGGCAGACATCGACACATGTTAATCTGGGTGAAGTTTCAATGGACATTGGGATAAACCAATTAATAGACATGTTCAGTGTCAAATCTATTGAATTTCACTGTCGGCCTAAACCAAAATGCCCTGTAGAAATTGAAAGTACCAATTAGAGCAAAGGATACAGTGACAAAATCCAATCAGCCCAATATTCTACCTACCTACCTACCATATTTTTTTAGCATGTAATAGGAAGCATTTTGTCCAATTAGATAAGGAGACCAAAACTGTACATAGTACTGAATTTGTATAAAGAGGTGATATCCTATTCTTATTTGTAATCAATATGTCTGTAAATACACCCCAAAATTTTACAACCTTTACTACTAGCAAAAGCAAACTGCACCAGCAGATTGAATGTTTTACCCACCACTATGACAAGATCCTTTTCTTCTGTCAGACTAAGGAGTGGGTTCCCATCTAATTAAATGTATAATACAACTTATGATAATCCAAATATATAACCTTACACTTACTTAAATTAAATAGTATTTATCAAATATTTGTCCAATTTACCAAATGATTCAAGTCACTCTGTAACACCTCAATATCTTCAATACAGCTAGAAATATCTGAGAGTTTAATGTTATCGGCAAACTTTACTGAGATTACTAATGATGCTTCTATCAGTATCATAAATTTAAATGAGAAAAAGCAAAGACCAAACATTAATCACCCCATTAGTAAAATCCAATAACTCTACCTTCTAAATAACTATTCCTTTTCCAGTTCCTACTGATGTGATTGTTTAGCTAATCTTATATGTGGCACCATATCATAAGCTTTTTGAAAATATATGTATGCCAAGACCACATTCTTTCCATTAGTGAAGAAAGATTCTGAAATGATATTGTTACCTTTCTACACTGTTATGTATTAGAATTTCAAATGGTCTGAAATCGAGTTAACTGATAATTTAAATTTGGTAGTTTAATTGTACTTTGGATTTAGGAATTAAGTAAAAAGCCGATATATAGTCAGTTTATGATATTTGCCAAGAAGATTGATAAACAGTTTTCTTTTTAACACAAATACATTTTAATATACACACAACAATACAATTTACAATAACAGTTATTACAAATAGTTATTACAAACAATGATTTATAAACAAAAGTTTCACAAACTTACAAGCAATATAAAGTCTTCCTGTTAATCTAGAACTTCTTTGATATCTTATTGAGGGTTCACAACAAGCGATTTAATTACGAGTTGATGTACGTATAATTCACTTAACGGGAAGCTAGCTAGCTTTGTCCTTCATTATTTATCTGCCACACACGTCGAGTTTTCAAAGATGAATTTTTATAATGTTTTCATAAAAATAGTAATGTCCAATGAGAATCCACTGAAGTTAAATGATTTGTTATGTTTGAACTTTGTAAAGGTTCCTGGTCAAATTTCTGAAGTTTTCCAATTGATAAGCATTATAATAATCACAGTTATAGTTTCCAAAGTTTATAGCACATTGACTATAGCGAACTAATAATAGATACTCTCTTTTGGCAAGGTGCATTAGTTATATTTATAGGCTGCGAAAGCTATCCAGAAAATTCAGATTACATAACATTACAAATTTAGGCCTTTACATACACATATACATTGTTGATTCTTACTATCAAGAATCTTTTACAACTTTGGAGAATAAGTGGGACTTTTGCAATACATATTTAACAGTATAAGCTATGTATGTTTCTAAATATAAATTTAAGCTAAACAAATGTTGATATTAAAATTAATATGTAATAACAAATTTGTTACAACAAACATTAGTTATGCCTTGAGCATCTGCCTTTGAGATTTTGCATGTGCCACTAGCCTTGAGCTATTTCTCACTTAAGATACATTTTTTAAATGTGAACTGCACTAGCGTGGGATGTAATCATTATGCAACAATAACCCTCTACCAATAGGAGGATGACACAACTTCATAAGAACCATAGTGGATAGACATGTTTCATGCAGTTTAAACTTTGTTCAATGTTGTGAGATTTACACTGCGTTTATTCTGTGGTTAACATTTGTCCATTTTATTTGGTTTGATTTCAACATACATTGCCTTTCAGTTACTGCATACAATAAAAAAATATCTGTAAAATGATTTTAATTACAGTGAATTCTCAAGTGACAGTGACTACTACTTCTTCCTGAGGTTCTGCAATGTAGCTAACACTGATCTTACTTTGTCTGTGGCCACTGGAGGCTCATTGACTGTGGAGGACATTACTGCTATTGTTCAACATGTTTTTGGTCATTATTGTTTTCATTGCCTAATCTCCCTGTCTCTACACTGGAAGTGCATTCCCCTTTTTCTGAATCCAACCATGAGAACAACAATTTTGGTTGGTTCTTTCCACCTCCTTTGTTTGCACTAGGCTCCTCTTTAGCTGTGGAGGCAATGTTCCTCCTACAAATCTCTCTGTGGAATTGATTTCTCGAGTTTGGTCTTTACTTCCTTTGTCACATATGTCTTTTGATTCTTCCCATTCCCTACTAAATGCCTCTCATGCTGAGGATTGTGTGGTTTTTCCTTCTTATCTAGATGTACATGCACATGCTGACATGTTTCTGGATCAGCTTCATTAATACTCTCAAGTGCTTTGTCCTCCTTGAATTCAGTATTCCTTTGTTATGGCTTATTGCCATCCCACTTTTCCATTCTTGGATTTCCAATCCTTGGAGTCCTTTTTCCCCATTTGGGATGGTTGACCCCCTGTTTCTATTACTTACTGCTTAATTTTTCAATCTTTGCCTTTTTTTCTTAACCATCTTCATCATTATGTATCCTATCTTTTTTTCCTCACTGAAACCCTGCAATGGAGATCTGTGGTTGGTACTTTTCAATACCTTGGCCAGGGTTTTGTCTTATGCTTTATCCCTGCTTGCATGGTTCATATGTTGTTGGAATATTCTGAGACTTGATGCTTTTCTTTTTGCTACTTGTCTTCCTCTGTGTGGCTCCTTTTCTTTGCCTTTCAGTCTTTAGGGTTGGGATGTTCTTAACACCTGGAAAACTTGTGCTGAAGCTGCAAGACATCAGCCCTCTCTTTCCCTCCTTCATTTCTTGTTTCTCCCAACCTTGTGAATACATACCCCTTCATCCGTGAACCCTCCACCTCTTTTTCTTCCCATTTATCATCTTTCTGTTTCTTCTTGCAGTTCCCCCTCCTGTTACATTGCTATTGCACATCACATCAATGTCTACCTATCTTCCTTCCTAGTCAGCTCAGGCCCTGTGAGGCACATCTTTTTTCTATTTGCAGGCCTTCAGACCCTATTTGCAGCCATGTGGTGGGTCATTCAAGTTTTTAAGTAAGGTTTTTCTCATCTATTCCTCCACTGTCTCCTTTTCCTTCGCCTTCCAATCCTTGTATTTTTCTGTATCTTGAGGCTGTGGTATTGGTTCCTTTGATCAAGAGAGCCATCAAGAGGGTCCTTTACTCTCTCCATGGTTTTATTTTCATCTTTTTTTGTTGTCCCCAAAAATACTAGGTAATGTTGTCCCATCATCAACCTTTCTTCTCCCAACCATTATCTAGTGATTCCTCAGTTGAAGATGGAGGGGTTTCTTCCTCTCCATTTGCTTCCAATTGGTCCACGTGCTAATTGCCTTGGCAACTAATCAAAAAAGTGGTTTGACTACCTTTATTTTTAATACTTTGTTTGGGTATGCCATGCAGCTCAGATGGGGTTTGTAAAACTGGCATAACACCATAAAGTAAGACAGTCCTTTTTAATCACAATTATAGTAACTTTCTGTACTCAGAATCTAGCAGTATATATGACTGAAATGCATGTATCATAGGTGTATTGATACTCACTAGTACAAATCTTCAAATCTTCGTATTAAAATATGTATTAGCAATTGTTTTCTAGTTCCTTCTAAGGTTTACTAGAAAACTATAACACTAAACAGCAAAGTGATTCAACAGTGGTACAGAAAATATTAATCCAAAAATTAATATGGTATATGGAGTTTATTGTAAACAATATCTTATAGTAGACCTTGTTTCTATTGATTTTTATAAATGTCTGAAGTGCTGTACATTTTACAGGAAACTTGTGTCAAACAAACAATTTTCATATGCATTGTTGGTCTGATGGCTCTGTTGGTGGATCCCGATCTCCATCTCCCTGTGGGGAGGAACCACTTGATTTAAGTGTGCACTCCAATAGGATCTTTAAAACAACAGAAAAGGATGAAGAAGAAGATAGCAATTCAGCCAGTTCTGTTTTGAAAGTTCCACTTCCATCATCAAAGCTTGGGTAAGTTTAAATTACAAATAAACTGTTTTTTTAACAATCGACTGATAAATTATAAGTAATCACAGTCCTCTTAAGTATTTCTTTAGCTCCTAGTTTCTTCATGGTAACTGTAATGCTGTTTTTCCGTAATTACTGCAGCAAACTAATTATGATTCAGTGATGTCATCATGACCATAATTTGTTGTTTATATAATATAATTGCTCAGAGATTGGCAAGTTGGTAAAATAACATCAAATGACTAGTCAGTTGACCACTTATTTTTAGGGTAAGCAAGAACTGGTTAAATATGCTCAAATAATGTAAAGCCTGTATTAAATACTGGAGCATTAGCAGAGATTTCATGATGAATTGTAAGATTCTAAAGTTCCTCTCTGCTTATAGACAAGTCTTGAAATTACACTTCTACTAACTTCAAAATGAGTTTTAAATCAAAACAATAAAAAACTGTATTTATTGTATCATATCGTAATATTTCTTACCTGTCTTACATGTATTTCAGAAATTAACTACGTCTCTGTTCTTCATCCCCTGAAATCTTTATAGGTGAATGATGTTATACCATGCCATATTATAATGTACTTCAATTTCATGCGGCTAATAGCTATGATTTTTTTAAACATGTAATAAAATTCAAAATAATGGGATATTATTTTAAAAAAAAGAGATAGTTACATAGTATAATAAATGTTAATATTACTTACATATGATGCAGCATTCATTGTATGCTCCAACTCTCTCACTACCAGCTCAGTCCCAGGGACCGACCTTGTAACCATTTTGTGCTTGTTATAGTTTTCTTACTATAATTTTTAATACACTATGTGTATCTTCATGAAATTTTGGAGATCATCAGTAAACATTACAAGGTTTTAGTACACAAAAAGCTGATTTTTTTGACTAAGTTTTAAGTAATTATTTGCTTATACATTTTTTTGAACTATCCAACATTAAAAATACTTTTATGCATCATGTGATCAAATTTCACTTGCAAAATTTTTAACCTTCAAATTATTAACCAACCTTTTTTTTTTTGAAAAAAATTTATATTTTGTCTGTTATTCTCACTGTTGTATCTCTGTATGGGTTTTGTCAATTTGACCAACCTCATAACCACTTAAAAAGTTAGGAAATATACACCTGGAAAAAAGTTAAGCACCCCCGTGTTTTTTTCAAGTGATTCAGATTCGACATTCTTGTGACTGATTATAAATTAC